GAGGGAGGGAGGGAGGGAGGGAGGGAGGGAGGACTTTGGGGTCCCGGGTGCCCTCTGAGCTGGGTGGCTTCCTTGCAGACGTTTCATGACCCAACTAGGGAACATCATCAGTGCTAGCAGGAGTGGGGACTTGTATATAAACAAAGAGCAAACCTCAGTAACCTCCTAGCACGGATAACATTCCCCAGTTGGGTCACGAAACGTCTGCAAGGAAGCCACCCAGCTCAGAGAGAGCCAAGGGCCCCACAGTCAAAGGGAGCTTTTGAGCCGGGCATATAAACTTAGCTGAAACACGACATTCAAAACTGAACCCACCCATTTTCCAGCCCTTCCAAGGTGCCCTTCTTAAAAGGTCGGTTTCTTCATAACTTGACATTTTTTTTTCCTATTCTGCTGCTGGCGCGTTAAGAACGTTCCCCGTGTTGTTTTATTTCCACAAAGAAAAGCCGGGCGTTTGGGGTTTCTCCGTCCTGGGCCTTTTTTTAATTTAACAGGCACTACTTTCCCCCCCGTCATGAAAGCCTCCCGCAAGAGGGTTTGGTGAACCGCTGCTTACCCAAGATTATTTCCCTGCTCAGGGCGTTAATTAGGTTTTTCTAGGAAACGGTCGACTGCAGTCTGACTCAAGGAGGGAGGTTTTTCTTGGGTCTTTCCCTGCCTCAACCCAGGAGACTAAAGTCAGGGAGGGTCTCGACTCAAACTCTGGCCGAAGAGACTTACAAGGGGAGGTGGTGCCCAGAGAGGCTGCTGGTCAGGTGGGAGGCTTTCTGGGGCACTCTGGGGGTACAGACGGCTGGAAGGAGGACCCTGACGGCCCCCGTGGGGAGGGTCTGGAGCTCCGAGGACGTGCTGATGCAGATGGAGACGTCCACTTGAGGGGGAACGATGCCCACGCTGGCCACAAAGATGACCCTCTCCAGGTCTTCGTCCAGAACGACGTGGCCTACAGGGAAGGAAACTCAGGCGGCCGACCTCTGCTTAGCAGGCCTCGTCTACGTTTCATTGAAGGCTTCCGAGGAGGTGCCAGGACCTTCCTCTCTAAGGCAGACGTGTGGACTTCAACTCCCAGAATTCCCCAGCCAGCGTGGAATTCTGGGAGTTGAAGTCCAGAAGTCTTGAGAGTGGCCGTGTTTGAAGGCCCCGGTTCTAAGGGAGCAGCTTTAGTGTCGCTCCCTCCTGGAGCCTTGAGTATCGGAGCCTGGATATTGCCTGCGATGAGCCCTTTGCCCCCCTCCCCTCCCCTCTCACCCTCCTCATCCGGGGGTCCCCCGTCGCTGAAGCCACTCTCCTCGATCCTCGCCTTGTCTTTGATCTGCACCGTCACCACCCGCTCAGCGATCACGGCTTCGAAGCCCACGACGGTTGTGTATTCGTCCAGGGGGTAGATAAACATGCCTGGGGAGGGAAGGGGTTTTTTTTTTCAGCAGGCGAAACCTCCCTGCGGCTGGAATGAAACCTCCCCGAGAGAGAGAGAGAAAACCCGCGGAAGAAACGGCCCCCCTCGGGACGATCCCTCGGCCCACCTGCTTTGGCAGCCCCAAACGTGAAATGTGGAAGCCCGAGGGGTGTCTCGGTTGGCACCCTCCAAAGACAGGCAGTCCTTGAGTTAGGACCACCCTTGAGGCTAGCATTTCCGTTGCTAAGCAAGGCGGGTGCTTTTGTGCCTGAATTATGAGCGTTTTTGACCTGATGAAGCAATGGAGGCCGTGACTTTGCTTGTTGGAAGCCGGCTGGGAGGGACACGTGTGGCGATTACATGACCGTCGTAAGTACAAGTCAGTTGCCAAGCGCCCGAATTCCGATCACGTGATTGTGAGGATGCTGCCACGGTTGAAAGTGTGAGGACCAGTCATAAGTCACTTTTTGAACTCCCCGTGACTCCTCGGGGCCTGGGCTGCCCCTCCTCATCCCCTCGTAATTCAGGAACCGCACGGAAGGAAGGGACTCGGGGGGAGGCAGCCAAACTGACCTTCAAAAGGATGGTCCTCCGAGTTGCGGTAGGATAGGCAGGCGGTCATTCCAAAGGCGTAGCCACTGACGCAGGAGGTGACCTCCGAGGCAGCCAGAGGGAGGACGGTGCTGGTCGTCCGGTTGACCAAGCCCGGCATCCTGGCGGCCCTCTTAGGATCCCAGCAGAAAAGGACCAGGGCTCCGTCCCTCTCCTCTGAAATACAAAGATCCCGTCCGCCCGTCTGTCCGCCAGCCAGGCCACTGCAGGTGGACGTAGGAAAAGTCCCGGGTGGAAATTCAGAGGCCCTTTGGGTGATTCCCAGACCAAACAGCCGTCCAGCCCCCCATGAATCTGCTCTGCGGTTCTCCCATTTTTTCCAAGAGTTTGAGGATCGGTTTCGGAGATCTCCCGGGGGCCTTTTGACCAGTGAGCTGGGACTGGCTTCTCTAGGGATCGAACATCTGGCTATTGTGAATATTTCCCCTCATCCTCCTTGAGGGCCTTGTGGCGGGAACCTGCCACTGTTTGTGCGGCCTTTTCTGATGCTGAAACTTTGCAACACAACTCTTGGGGGGGGCCTGCAACAAGGGGGGGGAACTGAGACAGATGCAGATGCTCCATGGACAGAAAGCAGAGCTGGGCTCTGGCCGTGGTGGGCTGGATTTTTGCACCTCCTGCCTCAAATTCTCTGCCCCCCGGCTGCCTTTTCGCTCCGGAGCACCAATAAACAGGCAAGGGGGAGACATGGAGATCCAGGCGGATCCCACAAGCGACCATCGGCCCTGTGGTCGCTCAAGGGCAGCTCTAGACCAATGCGCCAAGGGATCCGTCCCACTCTCTGCATCTTCCATCTCCTTTTGGTGAGGACGAGTGATTCATTGCCCAACAGTGTCGCTTCCTCGCAGGGTAATAAATCAAGTCTTCCCAGGTGGAAGGAAGGAGGAGGGGGGTCGCAGACAGGCTCAGGTTCAGCAGGAAGGGAGGCAGAGAGAAAGGGAAGGTGTCGGGGGTGGGTGGGTGG